TTTATTATTGCCTCTAGGGCATATTTCCTTCAAATTCTAGGATCGGTTCCCTTAAACATTCAGTTTAGGAGATCCCTGATGGGGAACGATGGGATAGATGGCTACATCTTGTGCACATGTTGATGGATATTAACCTTTCTGATGGGCCAGACACACTACACTAAAAAAATCGGTGTCAGGGGTATTTTCAGTGAAATCTATGTGTATAGATTTGATAAACACTAGTCCAATCCCAACTTCGCTTCACATTTGGAGAATTAAGGTACCTTTAAAGATAGAAGTCCTTACGTGTTTTGTTCAGAAGGAAGTGATCTTGACTACTGACAACTTGGCAAACCATAGTTTCGAGGATAGTAAACGGTGTTGTTGTGATCAAAATGAATCCATGCAACATCTTTTTCTCAATGCCCACTAGCCAAATTATTGTGGCAAACGTTACATGTGTCCTTTAATGTCATCACCCTAATAGCATTGCCACTTTATTTAGGTTTTCTTTTTCTTTGGTTAACCTGTGGCCTTTACCGTGCTTTTATTTTTCATTTCCTTTGTCTTTGGTTTATTTTTATTTTATTTTATTTAGTTTTCTTTTTTTTGATTTTCTTTGTTTTTGTTTTGTTTTCATTCTACATTTTTTGTATATGTCAACAACATTTTCTAATACACATTTAACATTTTTCCAATAGATATTTAGTATTTTTAATACATGATAAACATTTTTTCTATACACATCTCAAACATTTTTCATATGCTTGATTAATAGTTTTTAAATACAGGATTAACATTTTTAAAATAGATGGTCAATATTTTTCCTATACACACTTTAAAAAATTACAATTTCTTTATTAACATCTTTCAAATATAAGATTAACATTTTTTAATACATGGTTAATATTTTTTCCTATGCACATTTAATATTTTTTAGATGATTGATTAACAGTTTTTAAATGAAAAACATTCTTCTACATAAATTTAACATGTCTCAAATGTTTGATTAACATTTTTTGAACACTTGTTCATCATTTTTCTAAATGCTTAATTAACATTTTTATATACGTTACCAAAATTTCCTATCATTTTTTAATACATGGTCAACATTTTTTCTATACACAAATTAAAAAAATTCAAATGCTTGATTAACATTTTTCAAATACTTACCCAATATTTTTGAAATGCTTGATTAACTTTTCTATATACATGATCAATTTTTTATCCTTTTTTAATACATGCTCAACGTTTTTTCTATACACATTTAACATTTTCAGAACACTCGTTTAACATTTTTTCTGATGCTTGATTAACCTTTTTTACATACATGATTAAAATGTTTCATACACATTCATTTTGTATAGATATTTCGTATAAGTGATAAAAAAATTCTGTAAACACATTTAACAATTTTTAAATGCTTGGTCAACATTTTCAAATGTTTTATGTAGATGTATTTTTGTAATATAATTATTTAGAATATTTGAAAGTGTTATCAAGAGTAAAAGAGAAAGCAAAAAATGAAAACAAAAAGGTGAAAAAAATACAAGGTTATTGTTCCCGCTCGCCTGGGCCGACCTAACTCGCTCCATCGGCGAGGGTTCCTCCTGTCTCAACTATGGCAAGATATAGGGGCATCCGAAACCATGCCAACCTACATGAATATGTACGAATCTTGTCACCCTGCATCCTATGGGAGGTCATGTTCAGTGCCTTAAGCGTACGAAAAGGTTCCCGGCACCCATGTCCCCCCGCTCGTGGGCTAGCCCAAGAACAAGGAAATTGCTAGTTGACTGGTTGCAGTTGACTAGTGGACCGGTCAACCATTGACTTTGAAAAAAAGGGAAAAAGAAAAAAAATCATGAATTCAAAAATTGTTCATGGATTTTGAAATGTCACAAACTTCAAAAAAGTGCACGAAGTTGGAGACAAATCATTGAGTTTTTTTAAAATATTTGTTTTAAAAAAAGTTCATCGGGTTTGAAAAAGGTTCATCAATTGTGAAAAAAGTTCATCATAGTGGAAAAAAGTTCAACAATTTTGCAAAAATCATTGGATTTGAAAAAAGTCATCAAATTTGGAAGAAATTAATAAGTTGTGAAAAAATCATCAAATTGCAAAAAGTTCATCAAATTTGAGGAAAAAGTTCATCAAATGGAAAAAATTCATTGCTTTTAAAAATAAAAGTTCATTGAATTTGAAAATTTTCAAGAATTTTGATAATAATAATAATGAAACAAGTAAAGAAAAGTAAAAATATTAAATATTAAAGAAAACAAAAAGGACAACAAATAAACAGAAAATGCTCTAGAAACCAAGGCTTTCTGTGAACTGGAATTTGTCCAGCGAACTGGAAAAAACCAGATTGGGAAGCTTGTGAAAGCTTCCCAAAACCATGGGCTTTCCACAAACTGAAAAGGAATAAAACGAATAAAGAAGTAAGAAGCCACACATGCTAGTTGTCCTAGTGACTGCTGTGGTTTACACTCTGGACGAGCGCTTACCTTTATTGCAGTTTAACAGAATAAAGAAAAAACAAATGAGCCGGCCCAGCAGGGGGTAGGGGTGCTCTTGTTTGCAAAATGAATTGTAACAGGCGCTTAAAGCGGCAAATAGGAAATTCCCCGACGGTTGGCGTTGATAAATATTTAATAGTTCTTAGCTAATGAAGAATTAGCAAATCATTCATTTATTCAAAGGCAACGCTACCTGTGAATAAAGGTTTTTTAAGCATTTATGCCACTAGTTATGTTCCAATACTCAATTTTGCCATAGAATTTCAACTGCTTAAAAATGCCATCGCTTCATTAAGCACATGCTAAAAATTATCATTGGACACCATTACTATGAGTTCAAATCTCATTTGCCATGTTATAGTGACATAAGTACCTATAGACTAACATGGCAGCTCTTCGTCTATCTCACTACAATAAAGTATGTGCCACTTGATCCCAATAATATTCTTATTTTTCTGTAAAATTATTCGCTTGCTTACTCCTGACAAGGAGAGCCCACATTTATCATTGTGAGAAGAGAGAGAGCTGACATGTCCGTTTAGGGGTATTTTTGTCATATAACATGGTCAATGGATTTGACCTGACAATAACTATGTCTAATACTTTTTTTATGAAATATTTAATGGAACAATGACATTTTTGAGATATCTAAATGCATTTTTGAGCATGCATCTCATGAAACGATGACATTTTTGAGCGAACGTAACTTCTAATAACAAAACTGAGTAGTGTGACACAACTAGTGACATAAATGATAAAAACACTTGAATAAATTAATGGACTTTGAATAAATATTCCCTGGATTAGGCGAAGCACGTCATCCCCATTGTTGCGGTCGTCGCCATCGCAACATCTCCGCCGTCGTGATTGTTACCATCCCAACATTGCCGCCGCTGCAGTCGTTGCCATTGCAACACCATGTTTGTTGGTGTCGTCGTTGCCGTTGCCGCCTTGTCGAACTTTCACAGTTCCGCCATCGTTGCCGCCTTGTCGAACTTTCACAGTGTCATCGCCGTTGCATTCGCCACTGCGCAGCATCATCCTTGTAGAAGTTGTCGTGACCCGTCGAAACGTCGTCCTCATTGCATTCGCCACTATGCAACATCATCCATGTTGCGCGATGCCACTGCAACATCACCGGCGTTGCGGTCAATGCCGCACAACTTCGTCGGTGTTGCAGTCGACGCGACGGGGACATCGCTAGTCTTGCGGTAGGACGCGCTTTCGTTGCTGAATCATATTGGAGATTTGGACCCTTCGTAGAATGGTTAGCCTACAGTAGCAGCAGGGCCCCTGGCCGCCTTGCAGCACCTCGCCGTCGCCGGGAGCAGTCGTCGTCCCGACAGCGGTGGTGGTTGTCACCCCTTCACGCAACAGTGTCGCCTCTTGTGGCTGTTCATGGCGAGCTCGTGGCGGTTGCAGTAGCGAGCCGTCAGCTCGTCCAGTTCGCTAGGGCGGTGGCACCATGACTCAATTGCGAGGAGCATCACTGTTTAGGGAGGAACGGGAAAATCGCTCATTCGGACAAGGAAGGGAGATAAGGAAGAAGGAGATACGACACGTGCGGGGCGCACATGACACCGCGTGCGTGAGGCGGACGACGCGCGAGCGTAATGGTATATTCTGAATTCTGAGCGTTTCCCTTTATTCAATGGAGTTTACAAGCAACTGGCTACCCATGCAGTGGCGTAGCCAGGATTTTATGTCAGGGTGGTTCAATTGGCACAAAAAAAATAACACCACAAATTTATCAAACCAACATATGCACACGGAATATATCCAAAGCACATATTAATAAGGTCTATCAAAGCATATTAAAATTCATGTTCAAGCCTTACATTCGCGTAAAATATAGCACACCTTATTTGTCGGATCCATATAAAAAAAGGGATGCAATGTCTCCTGTTCTCTCCATTTTTGCAACGGTTGTACAAAAAAAAATTAATACATTAACTCAGTTGGAATAAAGCCCTAATGATTCAATCAGTTTAATTGACAAATTGTCAATTGCAAAAAACTTTAAAGCTTGCACTCTCAACAAATTGTTCAAATCTTCATAGCAAAAGGAAATTGTGCTTTGAATTAGACAAGAACAAAAATCTTACTCTAAATTGAAGTAAAAAAGAAAACAACTAGTGCGCACTGCACAGGGCTGTACCTGTGTGCGTGCGCGCTTCCTTCGTCGGCCGCCGGGACGCGCATCCTTCGCCGGCCGCCTATCCGTCGCGGTCAGCCTGTGCCCTACCGGAGTGCCGGCCTTGCGCTGGGCGATGGCGCTAGGTTTCAGTATTTCACACTTCTAGAGACCAGATCACCAGAGGAAAAGGAGACGACAGGGAGTTGGGAACGATCAGCGTACATACACGCGTACATGGGCTAAGACCTGATTTGGGCTTGGGTATGTTTCTTTTTTTAAGAAGTACTAAACTAATGGGCCAAATTCCAGGGTGGTGCATGGACCACACTGGCCACCCTACAGCTACGCCCATGGCGGCTGGTTCATTCAGTTGATTCCACACCGGCGGTGTCCTGAGAGCACGGCTCTGACACGAAGGACAGCTTGGCGTCTTTGAGGTCATACACAAACCTTGTGTCCACCTGCTGCAGTGCCCCGATGACCGTCCGCTCGCCCGGGATCATGGCAAGGCACAGGGCGGCCCCGTGGAGCTTGCTCTCCACCACCGTGAACAGCTGCTCCGGCTTGACGACCAGCCTCGCCGTCTCCTCCGCGAAATGGAAGGACAGCGACTGGAGGTGCCGCTTGATCTCGACGGTCTTGCGGACGCACAGCCCGTAGCCCTGTCGCTGCATGCGCTCCGCCCTGTTCCGCCGCAGGTCGCTCCACACGGCCTCCTCCACGACGCGGTACGCCTCCCGGACCAGCACCGTCAGCGGCGTGCCGGGGTCAATCACGCACCCGCCCTGCCCGCCGTGCCGCCGGGCGAACATCTCCGGCCTGACCCCCGTCAGCCTCTTCGCGTCCAGGCTGATGCCCACTAGGCTCACGTAGTACTGCGACTCGTGCGCGTCCAGCGCCGGGAGGATCTTGGTTGTTCGGAGGCCCGGCCGGCGAGGCACGTCGGCGCCGAACCGGAGGAAGCCATGCCGGCTAGCCCCGCCGGAGAAGAGGCAGTACGAGAACTGCGTCTGCCCGCGCGCCGCGACCTGCATGACGAGCGAGGTGGGCATCTTACCCATGGCCGCGACGCCCGCGAAGGTGCGCTGGCTGTTGAAGTGTTCCGTCGAGTGCGCGCACCCGAAGACCAACTCCTTCATGGACTCTGGCCCCATGGTGAGGTTCTCCAAGGCCACGAAGCCGTGCACCGACATGCCGTGCTCGCCGGACAGGTGGAAGGAGCACTGCTGCCCTGCGGGCTCCATGGGGTACGGCGGGTGGCAGATCTGGCTCGTGCCGGCGACCTGCTGGAAGGTGGACGAGGCCTTGGGGTCGAACAGGGGGCCGCGCTGTGGCTGCTTCGGATTGCAGGGCTTGCACTGCAGCCACACCAGGCTACCCGAGGCGTCGAGCTTGAGGTTGTAGTCGTGCCGGCCTTTGCCCGAGCCCAAGCCAACGACCACGCTGAAAGCCATATCGATTGGTGAGGCCATAGGTGGGCGGAGGGTGTTGACGTTCGCCTCCGATGGAAGAAGGTCGTCCAGCCGGCTCTGGACTTGGAGGAAGCCGTCGTCGCGCAGTGCATAGTCATGGTGGGCTACCAGTCGGAAGCTTGAACCAGCGCCCGAGCTAGCCATGACGACTTTTGGGCTGCCTGCATCAGCATCGGCAGGCGGTATCAGGTGGGTCATGATGAGCGCCATCAGGAACACAACGCATTGGAGAGTGTTCTTGATCCCCATGGCCATCGATGTGCTAAGTCTGGGCTGCGGTCGCTCTATGCTACCTCAGGATGGAGGGATATATCACATATATATAGCACATCTACAACTCTGATTTTGCATATCTTTAGGCCACCGAAGCTAGAGTTGGAGATACGGCAGACTTTGTATATCTTTAGGCCATTGAAGCTAGAGTTGGAGATACGGCAGTGATCGCCATGGCAGCATTTGACGTCAGTATAATGTGCTTCGCGAAGCATGCGTAGACCTATCTATTGTACTGTTGTAGTATCCCGGATGTAACTTATCATATTTGTACTCCAACTCTTGCCATTATCGGCTCTAAGTTATAAGATTTTCTTGTGGTTGGATTTTGTCTTCATTTTGCATTTTGTGCATCTCATTTGCATACGTGTTTGTCTCATGCATCCGAGCATTTTCCCCGTTGTCCGTTTTGCATTCCGACACTCCTACGTCCTCCGGCGTCCCCTTTTGTCTCTTCGTGTGCGGGTGTTAAACATTCTTGAAATGGACCGAGATTTGCCAAGCGGTCTTGGTACACCACTGGTAGACCGCCTGTCAAGTTTCGTGTCATTTGTAATCCGTTTGATACTCCAACGGTTAACCGGGGAACCGTAAATGCCTCATGTGTGTTGCAGCCCAACACCCCTCCAAAGTGGTCCAAAACACATCCAAGCCCCCTCCATCCTCTCGGCCGTTCGATCACGATCGCGTGGCCGAAAACCGCACTTCATTTAGACTCTCCTACCTCCCTCTACCTTTAAATATGTGCCCCTCCCGGATATTCGCGCAGTCTAACCCTAGCCCCGCTCCCTCTCCGCCGCCGGACGTGTCCGCCGGTGCCGGACACGTCCACCTCCGCCGCCGCAGCCAACAGGGGCGCGCCACCTGTCCCTGGCCTCCGCCCCGCCGCCAGGCCCGCTCGGGCCCATCGCCGGCCCTCCCGACCCGGGCCGCGCGCGCCACCACCTTCCGAGTCGTCCCCGCGCGCCCGAGAGCTCGTCCCCGCCGCCCTGCTCCTCCGCGGCGCCCGCCGCCGCCCGGACTCAGGTCGGTCGCCGCCGCCCCACCGTGACTCCAGCCGCCGACCGCGCCATCACGGCGCCGCCCTCGCCGGCGAGCACCGGAGACCGCGCCTGCCCTCGTCTCCGGCAAGCTCCATCGACGCCTTCGTCTCCGGCCACCGCGAGGAACTCCAGCGAACTCCTTCTCCGGTCAACCTCGAAGTCCGTGTCGAAGCCCCAGATCCAGATCTGGAAAACCCTAGGGTTGACTTCGAAATTCTACCAAGTCATTTTCTGCTATATATTTTAGCTCTGTTCATCATGCCATAACTCCGCATCCGTAGATCCGTTTTGCGTGCATAATATATCAAAATGTTCATCTGGATGTGATCTTCATTGTGTTCCATTGTGACCTGCTTGTTTGAGTCCATCTTGATGCCCAAATTATTGATGCAAGAGTGCTAGAAAATGTTAGTTCCTGTTACGTAGCAGATTATGAGCTTTTGTCATTTTTGCTACAATTGGTGTGTGCTGCATATGGGAATGAGCTCCACATGTGTTTTGGGCTATGCCATGCCATCTTTACAGGGGTGTATGCCATGTATTTTTGTCATAATGTGGTGACTAGCACAAGCATGCAAAGTAGCTCTCGTGATATTGCTGATTTCAGTGACTTAGAATTTCACTAAGTCATTTCCCTGCAGTTATTTTTATGCCATGTGTTCATGTTGCTACAATGAGATCCATGCTTCTTTTGAGTATGTTCAGTAAGGATGATTTGGACATATGGTCATGCTCTATCCATCCATGCCCATGTTTGCATTTATGGAGTGCCCTAGTATGACTCAATCTTGCTCTATGTTTGCTATAAAATGTTCCTGGCAGGTTGTTTACGTGTTAATCAATTTTGCCAAGGTTGTTGTAGTTGATCCATGCATGTTATGAGATTTTTCTTGCCATGTTTAGCTTCACGAACATGTCTTCTTACTATTGCTATGCTTATATTGTCATGCAATGTCTTGTGGTGAGTGAATCGAGCTCGCAAAGAGGCATTCATAATTCTGTTTATGCCATGTCCAGTTTTCTGCTAAGTCTGAATCTGTTGACGAAACTTGTTATGTTTACATGGGTGCCATCATATTTTTTGTGCCCTTTTGGCTTATGGTCATTAAGGGACTTTTGTTCTATGCTTTGAGTAGATTCATTCCATGCCTTTGTTTCCTATGATCTGTTCCTGTAGCATGTTGTTATCTTGCTCTAAACATTGTTTCCTCGTATAAATTCCTGACATGTTAGTATTTTCACTAAGTCTGTGAAGCTGATATCTTTTGCACTTTTGTCATGCTTGTTTGAACCTGTTCTTATGTGATTTAGCCGTAGCTCAGTGTTCATCTTTTGTCAAGCATCTTGAGTAGATTACTGCCATGTGCTTTGTTGCTATGTTAGAGTGCAGTAGCTTAGTTTCTTGTTGCATTTTAGATGACATTGTGCTGTTAATCGCAGAATTGTGCCATTCTTGTTTTGCTTGCCATTTGCAAACCGTGCATCCGATTCCGGTGATTTTTATATCGATTTCGACCGAAATCAACTTATATTTCCAGCGGCGCACTTGGTTTTCCAAGTTGATGCCTGGTCCAATCTTTCCCTTCCGAAGCACGCATATGCATTGCATATCACATCCCGCATATCATGCCATGTTTTGCATCATGTTGCTTGCGCATTGCACCGTGGTTGATTGTGGTTTCCTTTGCTTGTGTTCTTGCCTTGGGTAGAGCCGGGAGACGAGTTCATGATCGATGAACCCGTTGAGTACGCTTACGAGGATCAAGCTTACGTCAACTTGGAGAACTTTGCAGGCAAGATGACCATACCCTCGAAATCACTTCTATGTTTGCTTGCTAGTTGCTCGCTCTTTTGCTATGCCGCGATACCTACCACCTGCTATATCATGCCTCTCATATTGCCATGTCAAACCTCTAACCCACCTTGTCCTAGCAAACCGTTGTATGGCTATGTTACCGCTTTGCTCAGCCCCTCTTATAGCGTTGCTAGTTGTAGGTGATGATGGAGTTTGTTCCTTGTTGGAACGTGATTATTGTTGGATATCATTATTATATCTTGTTTACTTTAATGCATCTATATACTTGGTAAAGGGTGGAAGGCTCAGCCTTATGCCTGGTGTTTTGTTCCACTCTTGCTGCCCTAGTTTCCGTCATACCAGTGTTATGTTCCTTGATTTTGCGTTCCTTACGCGGTTGGGTTATAATGGGAACCCCTTGACAGTTCGCCTTGAATAAAACTCCTCCAGCAAGGCCCAATCTTGGTTTTACCATTTTCCACCTAAGCCTTTTCCCTTGGGTTCCGCGGACTCAAGGGTCATCTTTATTTTAAACCCCCCCGGGCCAGTGCTCCTCTGAGTGTTGGTCCGAAACGGGCGGCCTGCGGGGCCACCTCGGGGCAACTCGAGGGTTGGTTTTACTCGTAGCTTGACCTATCCGGTGTGCCCTGAGAATGAGATACGTGCGACTCCTATCGGGATTTGTCGGCACATCGGCCGGCTTTGCTGGTCTTATTTTACCATTGTCGAAATGTCTTGTGGTCAGGATTCCGAGTCTGATCGGGTCGTCCTGGGAGAAGGAATATCCTTCGTTGACCATGAAAGCTTGTGATGGGCTAGGTTGGAACACCCCTACAGGGTTTTGAACTTTCGAAAGCCGTGCCCGCGGTTATGGGCAGATGGGAATTTGTTAATGTCCGGTTGTACAGAACTTGAAACTTAACTTAATTAAAATGAATCAACCGCGTGTGCAGCCGTGATGGTCTCTTTTCGGCGGAGTCTGGGAAGAGAACACGGTCTCGTGTAAGCTTGAACGTAATTAGTTTCAGGATCACTTCTTGATCTTTATAGCTTCTCGACCATGCTTTGCTTCTCTTCTTGCTCTCATTTGCGTAAGTTAGCCACCATATATGCTAGTGCTTGCTGCAGCTCCACCTCACTACCTTTTCCTACCCATAAGCTTAAATAGTCTTGATCACGAGGGTGTGAGATTGCTGAGTCTCCGTGACTCACAGATTACTTCCAAAACTAGATGCAGGTGCCGATGATGCCAGTGCAGGGGACGCGACCGAACTCAAGTGGGAGTTCGAAGATGATTCTGAACGTTACTATGTTTCCTTTCCGGACGATTAGTAGAGGAGCCCAGTTGGGGCGATCGGGGATCTATGCATTTGGGGTTGTCTTTATTTATGTTGGTTCCGTAGTCGAACCTTGATTGTATTCTGGATGATGTAATGCTATATTTATGTATTGTGTGAAGTGGCAATTGTAAGCCAACTCCTTATCCCTTTCTTATTCAGTACATGAGATGTGTAAAGATTACCCCTCTTGCGACATGTCTACTATGCGGTTATGCCTCTAAGTCGTGCTCCGACACGTGGGACATATAGCCACATCGTGGGTGTTAGAACTGTATTTACCTTCGGACATCAATGACAAGTTTTTCGGCTACGTGTACAGTATATTGTACCAGCCATCCGCTCTGCTCTGGCATCTACTTCGTTCTTTGGCCTTGGGCTGCTACCTTTTTTTTCTTTATTCATGGGATTTCTAAAACGTGGGAATAGAAAGAACACATAAATAAAATGTTCAAATATATATTGAATACTACAAAATGTATGGTCACTTAATTGTACAAATGTAACACCCCAATTTTTTTGCATCTTCCGTTTCTTTGAATTTCATTCATGTGGCTCTTGGTTGAATTTTGATTTGGATCTTCTTTTGGAAATTTATTTGGACTGGTGTTCAAACTTTTGCATATGGTAAGTGAATATGACTATGACTTGGACCAATACATATTGGACGTAATGAAGGAAAGATTATAACAAGTATAAACTTGCTAATCAAGAGAGGAGGTTAGATAAAATTGCAACCAATCCTTATAACCCGGCTTTATCTCCTTGCAGACCTTGCTTCATGGCTGCACCAAGCCAGAGAGGGAGTATGGTTGCCGGTCATTGATTGTTCTATATACTTTGACCTATACGAAAAAAACTTTCGCCCCGCTTTATAAATAATGCAAACCACCAAGCCACAAGGTCCAACAATGTTCACACCGCCCACACGCATACACGTGCACCAAGTAGCACAACACAAAGTACAAGAAGGTTCTGCTGAGGGCACAACTCAACAAGCCCAAAAAACAAAGCAAAGGCAGCCACAAAGCACTAGTAACACAAGCGGAAGAGAAGCTAATCCGGCTCGGGAGGTGGCGGAGGAAGCGGCGGCGCCCATCGGAGAGCGATCGCGCGGAGATCTGCAATGATGATGTTGATGGTGTCTCGGTCCTGAGGGCGACTAAGCGGTCGCCAGAGCTGCAACTAGCCACATAGTTTAAACACCGC